AGGCCGTTTTTAATGTGGGATTTCCGAGCCCGTGGGATCGGCTCAAAAATATGCCCATTGAACCCGTATAAACGGGTTCAGGGTCGGTTTACCTCACCGAAAGAGACTCCGCCCTTCGGCGTAGCCTCCTTCGGATTCCTCCCAGCCCGAAGGCAGAGAATTCAACTGAACAGTCGGTTCAAAAGTGAACTACTGACTGACGATATTCAGTCACCCCCACCACAGTAGCGTCATGTGGCACAAGGCCGTTTTTAATGTGGGATTTCCGAGCCCGTGGGATCGACTCAAAAATATGCCCATTGAACCCGTATAAACGGGTTCAGGGTCGGTTTACCTCACCGAAAGAGACTCCGCCCTTCGGCGTAGCCTCCTTCGGGTTCCTCCCCGCCCAAAGGCAGAGAGTTCAACCAAACAGTCGGTTCAAAAGTGAACTACTGACTGACGATATTTAGTCAGCCCGCCACGAGGGCGTCCTGTGGCACAAGGCCTTTTTAACGTGGGATCTCCGAGCCCGTGGGCTCGGCTCAAAAATATGCCCATTGAACCCGTATAAATTGGTGCAGAGTCGGTTTACCTGATCGAAAGAAAATCCGCCCTCCGGCGTAGCCTCGTTCGGGTTCCTCCCCGCCTGAAGGCAGAGAGTTCAACCGAACAGTCGATTCAGAAGTGAACTACTGACTGACGATATTCAGTCACCCCCCGCGAGGGCGTCATGTGGCAAAAGGCCTTTTTAAAGTGGCCTTTCCGATCCTGTGGGCTCGATCAAAAATATGCCCATTGAAGCCGTTTAAACGGGTTCAGGGTCGGTTTACCACACCGAAAGAGAATCCGTCCTTCGGCGTAGCCTCCTTCGGGTTCCTCCCCGCCCGAAGTCAGAGAATTCAACTGAACAGTCGGTTCAAACTGACTGACGATGAACTACTGACTGACGATATTCAGTCACCCCCACCAAAGTAGCGTCATGTGGCACAAGGCCGTTTTAATGTGGGATTTTCGATCCCGTGGGATCGACTCAAAATATGCCCATTGAACCCGTATAAACGGGTTCAGGGTCGGTTTACCACACCGAAAGAGACTCCGCCCTTCGGCGTAGCCTCCTTCGGGTTCCTCCCCGTCCAAAGGCAGAGAGTTCAACCAAACAGTCGGTTCAAAAGTGAACTACTGACTGACGATATTTAGTCAGCCCCACCACGAGGGCGTCATGTGGCACAAGGCCCTTTTAATGTGGGATTTCCGAGCCCGTGGGCTCGGCTCAAAAATATGCCCATTGAACCCGTATAAACGGGTTCAGGGTCGGTTTACCTGATCGAAAGAGAATCCGCTCTCTTCGTCGTAGCCTCGTTCGGGTTCCTCCCCGCCTGAAGGCAGAGAGTTCAACCGAACAGTCGATTCAGAAGTGAACTACTGACTGACGATATTCAGTCACCCCCCGCGAGGGCGTCATGTGGCACAAGGCCTTTTTAACGTGGGCATTCCGAGCCCGTGGGCTCGCCCAAAAATATGCCCATTGAACCCGTATAAACGGGTTCAGGGTCGGTTTACCTCCCCGAAAGAGACTCCGCCCTTCGGCGTAGCCTCCTTTGGGTTCCTCCCGTCCGTAGGAAGAGAGTTCAAACGAGCAGTCGGTTCAAAAGTGAACTTCTGACTGACTTCTTGCCTACTCCTGAGTCGCTGTATTTATTAAGTATGCAATAGTCCATTATTATTATGGGTAAGATCCCATAAAATATCTACCTAGTGGGATTGTATAAATTGTTGGACGAACAGCATTTAGAAGAGATACATTTTATTAACAGATACAAAGGACAAGAAATTATGGCGAGTTATGACCGCCAACGTCCTGAATGGACACAGTACATAGAAGAAAAAAGAGGTGAGATAAAATTGCCAAATATCAGATTGATTAATTTGATTTTTTATGGAATATCTACATTTTATGGGTTATTTAACAATATTTTTTTTTTAATATAAATTAATAATGAATTAGAAATAAAAAAGAAAAAGATTAATTCTTTCACATATGTACTAAGTATCGGATATCGTATATATATATATATATATATAAATTTTACTACGTTCATAAAAATACTGATTAAAATAAAATAAAATAAAATGAATAATGACAATCAAAATAATTTAACACAAATAAATAAATAAATAATCAAATAAACGACTTCCGGCAAAATAACCGCCAAAATAGACTACCCACAATGCACGACAGACCCGTATATATAAATAGCCGAAAAAATAACAGTACTCGTGGCCTGACGATTGCGTTTGGCATGAAACAGACTGTCGCCTCTAATTGTTGACTTCGATGTTCACTTTTATATATATATATATATATATATATATATATATAAAATTGAACATTGAAGTAAAAAAGATCATAAAAGTGAACAGTAAATTCGAGAAGTATTAAGTATGGGAAGCCGTCGTTATAAACCAATGGCCTCTGTTACCAATTATAGACTTTTAATGATATTTGTAGAGATTCCATAGTTGATTTTGTTTAGGTTAAGTTTTAACTGTTTGATGTATATTGCTTCAAGGAGTTTTAAACAGTTAAAACCTAACCTAAACAAAATCAACTATGGAATCTCTACAAATATCCTTAAATGTCTATAATTGGTAATAGAGGCCATTGGTTTATACCGACGGCTTCCCATACTTAATACTTCTCGAATTCACTCTCGCGTGGTCATGTGTGACGTCATGAGCTGCGGTGCGATTTTCGCTTCTAGCGTCTTATATGCACGTGTTTATCGTTGGTAGGAAATCATCCATGTAAACAATAGCAGACTATCATCACTGTCTTGTCCGTATATTGCTTAATATATTGTACAGTAATTGACATCTTTGATAATGGCTTATGTAAGCGATTGGATTAAAAAATATGGATCAATATTGTGATTTTCTTTCTTCGTTTAATGATAATGTTATTAAGTTTATCAGACGTTATGAAAAGAATTTACATAAAATAAATAGGCAACACTTGTCTATATTATTTAATGGAACATGTATGAAAAAATGCTGCCTATATATATATATATATATATGAGAAAGAACAGATGGAGTAAAATCTTTCCGTATATTGGTATCATTTGTGGCCGGACCATTCTGGAATTTCCACTTACGCTGCCATACGCAATTTGCTTAGTTTGCATTCTTCAATTGGACAACAAAGACGCAATCTATCATTTCTGATCTTAACATTTTTCGAGATGTTTTCACGTCTCTCTTGTCAATTATTTTTGTCCCACCTTGAAATATTCCACCTCTAATACTTAACGCAATGTATTTACAATTCTCACATACTTGCTTTTACATATTTGAGGCGTTCTTATATTTACGTTTTAGCATTATGTTGAGGTTTTTTGTTGTTTTTTTTTTACATTTGAGGCGTTGCTGAAAAGTTTACTGTCCTAAGCCATTTTCGAAAAATTTTAATGACAAACTGGAAACTGATACAGAGAAGTGTGTCAGGCCGAGAGCTTCCCGAAAACCAGAGAGAGAGAGGGGGTGAGGGAGGAGAGAGTGTGTATGTGTGTGAGAGAGAGAGATATGCAAACACACACAAATAGGATAAAATAAAACGTGCATTGGTTACATAACAATTACATTATCGTATCAATTAACTTGCAATTTATCTAATAATAGCTCAATGAAATCGCATGTCACCAACCAAAAGATCAAAGTACAGAAGAGAAATTCTTACTGATAACACATTACTGCATTACGTAAACGGTAAAAAATACCGACAGATACTAGATGCATTTAGAACAAGCAATCCAGTATCAATAAAATTTTACTAATTAACGAACATACTAAATATATTTCCTAACAAAAACAAGTGGAAAAACAAGACAAAGTGACACGTGAATCTGCTATACTTTAAAAACCAGCATTAAGCGTGAAGACGCGATATTTAACAAACGATGAAACCGACGTAGCACAAAATGCAGAGGCACTTGTAATAATTTTTGAAAGCCGAAAGTACTTAGACACTTTATTTCGTCCACCGGGGGGGGGTAGATTGATCTAGTTTCACCTGTCATGCCTCTTCCGGATATCTCAGTTTCATTTTCATTTATTTCCTTTTAATAACTCAACTCTCCTTTTTTTTTACCTCCGCTGTGGCCAGGTATTGAACTCACGTCTCTTTTGGTTCAAGTCACTGAATTATTTCATCCAGCGCTTTTTGCGAGTTCATATCACTATTACTAAGCCACTCAATATTGCCAAGCCAATTACATCAGTTAACAATTCAAGAGTATTTATTGTGTATATTGAACCCAAGGACACATGGCCCAGTGGATAAAAGCGTTGGTTGAAGTAATCCGGGGACTTGAACCAAAGGAGTTGTGAGTTCACAGCAGAGGTGAACAAAACTTGGAGAGTTGTGTTACTAAAAAGAGAAATACCTGAACCTGAATCTGAGATATCCGAAAATGGCACGGCATGTGGAACCAGACCAATCTACCCCGGCGGATAAAATAAAGGGTTCGGTTCGAAATTTCAATCTCCCCGGAGTGTACAACGGCCGAAACGCCGTGAATATGATAATGATGAGGACAACAGTCCAAAGAATGTAAATAATGTAAAATATGTTGTTTGTATCTGTTATACCGGAACATACCTATTCTATTATTAATATACTCTCCCACACATAATAAGTAGTAGTAGTAGTAGTAGTAGCAGTCGCCAGGGGGCTCAGAGGAGTTGAGTGTGTCAGTCGATGTCGGACATTAAAGTATCAACCACCACAACTAGATTGCTGCGTCATTAACTATTATTTCAAGTTCCTAACGTTTTGTACGTCGAACCTTGTTTAAGACCGACTTAGTGGAATACAAGCCTCCACCGTGAAAACTACTCTACAACAGTATCTAATAAGGAATAATATTAAAAAAAATGTATGTGGAGTTGAATAAACAGAAAATATCAAGTCCATTCTTATCAGTCGCTTATTCCGCTTGTTACAGACAGCATATCAAAATATGATATTCTTCCCCAAAAAGGTTGATTATGAACAACAGTGTTCAAAGAGTAAAGGTCAAATCTTGTCCATAAGTGAACATTATCAAACTATTGTTTTGGCTGTCAACCTTTCTTCTCTTAACAGCCAACTTTCCTTCTGGGCATAACTTACTCACATCAAGAATTGATCTTTTGATATGACCATACAGCCTAAGTACTCTTGACGAGATAACTGATGTGATTGGCTTAAGTTTGGTAACATTGAGCAGCTTATAGATAGAGATATAGTCGGTGAGGCGTTTGTCATAAGTCTCATGGTGTGATTCTGGAATGTAGCGAGCTTTTGAAGAGACTTTGTCGTCCAGGTAACACGATCGAGACCATATAACACAACTGGTAGCATGTAAGGGTCAAAGATCTCAGCCTGCAAATGGTGAGAAACTCGTTTTGATGTTAGCCCTTCTTTGTTCCTGTTGAGAGCTGCCTGACACGGAGTGACGCGATGCTACACAACAACCATCCTATTGTTTGGCGCTATTCAAATCGGCCGTCTCTGTCATCAAATGGATAAGACTTCTTCACACACGCACGCGCGCGCACACACACACACACACACACACACACACATATATATATATATATATGTATATATATATATATATATATATATATACACAGTGCTGTTCGATAAAAGTAACTCACCTGATTTTTTTTACTAAATGTTCTCTTCTCCGATGAAACGAAAGTTGAGCTAAATTCAAAGGATAAGCGATCTAAAATCCGAAGAAGCTTTGAAAGCTCTTTGAATTTTAGCAGTAAGTACTGTCAAGCATCCTTTCAGTATAATGTTCTGGGGATGCTTTTCTTTTCATGAAACTGGTTTCTTAAAACCTATTGGAAAGACCCTCAGAAGTGAGCAGTACAAGAGAATTTTAGAGTCTTGTCTGCTCCCTCCTGCTGAAAGGGTGAAAATCGACCCAACCAAGCTCATTTTTATGCAGGATAATGTTCCCAGTCACAAATAAAAATTGATGAAGGAATACTTTGATGCGAAGCAGGTGACTGTTATGACATGGCCGCCCCAATCTCTTGACCTCAACCTCATAGAAAACTTATGGAGCATTATAAAGTACAGGCTCTCGAGAAAACAGTTGAGCAACAAAGAGGATTTGATTGTGAATTTCATATCCGAATGGAATTCAATGGTTGGAGATGAGATTTGCCAGAACCTAATCAAGTCAATGCCAAAAAGGGTTGAAAAGGTTATTCAAAATAAAGGAGGACCCATAGATTATTAAATATTCCGAACTATATTATTATAAATAAATTATACCTCTATTATTCTTTATTTAAAGCTGTTCGGTTATGGTTCTATTGATTACTAGTTGCAGGAAATAAGTGAGTCACTTTTTTCCCTAAATTCCATTTATATCCAAAATTATAATTATCAATAGAATACCTTAGGGTGAGTAAACTTTTTTACTAGGTAGTCGGGAAGGGGTCTTTATATTAGTAAGATTAAAAATTAGTTTGACCCCCAAAACAATAGGCGAAAAAATTTTTAAGTAAAAAACATCAGGTGAGTCATTTTTATCGAACAGCAATGTATATGTATATACAAACCAGTTTCCTTTTTCTTTTATTCTTTTTTCTTTCTTTGTCAAATCATATCTGCCTGTCTATCTTTACAATATTTTATCTCCTCTCTCTCTCTCTATATATATATATATATATATATATATATATATATATATATATGTCATATGCCCCAGTCGACGAATGGGTTTATAAGGCGATCATACGCCGACTAGGAGATATATAAATTCTCACACCTGTGGAGAGATACAAGCTATCTCTCCCAGATCGTGACAATGGACAATTGGTAAACAAAAATATTTTTAAGACCACTGTTCGATTAGAATAATCGAACAATAATCTTTCTCAAGTCCGCTTCGTTTTCAACACGAATACTGATCCACAATACAAGGATGAACTATAAGGCTTAGCGATTTTTGATACAAGAATTTTAATATGTAAAAATATACAAATATCAAAATAAAAGAACAGAGAAGTATGAGCTAAAATATCCGACGACCAGATCTCAAAACTGACGTTGGGATATCAAAATTCGCCTAACACCAAATGGATTCAACTGAACCCGAACATACAAAAATATAAGTATGAATTACTATGAATTGAATGCAGAAGCCAACGCATACACAAAAGAGATGGGATAGGAGTTACAATTAGTTTTTACATGTGGAAAGGTGTTTGCAAGAACATAATATTCATGGATGTATGTATATCTTTCTAATACGGGTCCAAAATATGATTACTTATCTTTTATATTCAGTTCTCTTTTTTTTATCATTGTCCTTTCTTTTCTTTTCTCGATACAAACACAATTTCACACATTGACTGGCTGTAACTTGAGGTATACACTTTCTTCCTCTCTTTGTTTCGCCTTTTTCTTTTCTTCCTTTTTCTTCTGTAGACAGTTCGGTTTCCAAACCCGACTTACTGCAACAGGGATGTACACTTTCTTCCTCTCTTTGGTTTTCTTCTTTCTTTCCTTTTTCTTTACACAATTCAGCTTATAACAGAGGGATACACTTTCTTCTCTGGTTTTCCTTTTTCTTTCTTTACACAATTCAACTTGTAACAGAGGTATACACTTTCTTCCTCTCTTTGGATATCCGTTTTCTTTTCTTTACACAATTCAACTTCTATCAGAGGTATATGCATTCTTCTTTGGTTTTCCTTTTTCTTTAAACGCAGGCTGAATCCTCAGCGTATAAAGTTCTCTGCGTCTTCAATTTGGGGTTCTCGAACAGGAATACTTCTTGTTATATTTCTTGTCCGGAGTTGCCTGGGTTGAACTGGATAAGTTCCATCACTATCAAATGCGTCTTATCTTTCCGTTCATAAACTATCAGCGCTTCGGCTTCAGGTCAAGATAGCAACTGATTCTCGAGTGAATCTCTGACTATCACGTGTCTTAAGTTTTGGCGCGAATTCTAGCTTACATCAGTCTCCCGTCTAGCTTCTGTCTAGACATTTGTCGCTACGGGTAATTGGGTCAGTCAACCTTTTGACCTGCCTTCCCAAAATGTCATAGGACTCCCACGTGACCTTTATTCTGTTGCTAGGCGGAAATTAACCTTAATATATGTGTATATGCGTGTTTAGGCTATCTGCTTTCGTCACACGTCACAGTATATACAATTCAGTTTCCTTTTACTTAACTTCTTTTTTCTTTCTTTGTCAAATCATATCTGCCTGTCTATCTGTCTATCTTTACAATGTTTTATATCTATCTATCTATCTATCTATCTATCTATCTATCTATCTCTATATATATATATATATATATATATGTATATCAGCTCAGATAACAACACAGACATTATTCAAGTCAGGATGCGAAATTAGACAAGGTAAAATAACCTGGGAGGGCTGTTTGGTAATTTCACCCCCCCCCTACAAACACGTACACACACACACATTCACACACACATATATAAATATGTCAAACACAACATGGCGTGTTTTGTTTCATAATATACAAGTTCCGTAACTTGTGCGAGTTGCTGATTGGAATTGTTTTATGATTCGACATGCACTTCACTTTTGAGATATAGATGTCTAAGCCAATCTCTATTGCATGTATGGATAAATTGCAGGACACACTGGATCTGATAGACTTGGACGGTAACTGGTCTAGAAGAAAGAATACTTTGAATTCAAAACTGTATGTAGCTGGGGAAGTACACAATTCTGAAAAGCAAAGGATCATTCGCACTGACTCGTTGATCCCGGCTAAAGGTCGGCTTCTTTTAGATTAGGTATACCTCCAGTCAAATTTTCGGTTTTTAAGGTTTAAAACGAATTTTTAAAAATAAAAAAAGCATTCTTAAAGATTTTATTTTTAGCTTTAATTGAAAGCTAAAGGATTAAATTTATTATTTCCAGTAAGTAAAATATTCTTGTGTATTTCAGATAGAAATTATATAGATATATATTATATATATATATTAAATCATATTTGCCTGTCAATGTAACTGTCCGGGTTTCAATTCTCGGTAGTGGATGCGCACTGCTGATGAGTACCAAATATAGGACGAAACGGCCGTCCAGTGCTTTCTGTATTCTGTTGAGGTTTCTTCTAAACTCGATGAATAACTTAATTATCTCAATTCCTCCTTTCTATCATATATATATATATATATATATATATATATATATATATATATATATATATATATATATATTAAATAAAAAACACCACTTTTAAGGTTCCATGTAATAAATTATTTTAAACAGCCCTTTTAAAAGGACTGCGGATCATCAGACTTTACTTCCAAACAAAAAATTATTTCTCTGGATTTACATTGAGCTCTCTGGATTTTATCCTCCTTAGGTTTACCCATACGGATTACCTATTTTTAATAACTATATATATATATATATATATATATATATATATATATATATATATTCTCGATTTTTAAAAATTTTCTTAAAAGCGGCCATTTTCTTAAATTTTAAGAAATTTGTAAACAAAAAAAATTTCGATTTTAAAATTCTTCCTAAAATAAATTATATATTTCTGACACGTTGGGTAAAATTAGAAAATTTAAAGTTAAATTAACCTGATTTGAAACAAACATTACTTACTAGCATAAAAAAATTGTATCCAAACATTTCTTAACGATGTGTCTGATTTTTTTCATGTCTTTATTCACGTTATCGATGTTATTGAGAAGTTACAAGGTGATGACAGATACTATGGATGATCAAAATTGACATAATTTTACGAAATGTAAGCGAACGATCTTTTTTGGTATTTAACTAGTAATTTTTAAAATATTAACATTTTTTTCAGCAATTATGTAATATATTTTTATTTAATACTTTTTTTTAGTTTGGATTTCGTTTCTTAGGTTCATAATCTTTTTATCTTATTTAATAACTTACTAACTTAAACAAAAAATTACTTCAATGAAATATGACCTAAATTAAAATAAATACCCAAAATAAAAATATTTATTAAAAAAGTAATTAACAAAAATTAAAACTAATTTAGAAATTTTGAAAGGACTTTTTGCGCACATGTTAACTATGTGAAACAGAACTGGATATTGAAGGGAAATAAATGCAGTGCCTTAAGCGACAACAAATCATGTGTCCTTTTAAAGGATTATGTCATGTATAGATTCCCCATAGATAGAAATTAGGAACGTTTTTTTTTCACTAAAAATTGAGGACACATGGCACAGTAGCGTTGGTTAGATCCAGTGACAGGATCCAAAGAGTGTGAGTTCAACACCCGGTTAAGGCAGTGGAGAACTCTCAGAGGGAAATTAACAGAAGATAACTGACATCCATTAAAACATGGCACGTGTAATTAGAACAGTCTACCCCAGTGAGCGAAATAAAGGGTTCAGTACGACATTCCAATCACCTGAAGAAGGCCGGAGCGTACAACGGCCGAAACGTTGTAATAAATATGGCGACAAAGATGAGGACAATAGTCCGAATAATGTTTATTAAAATGTGTCGTGCTAATAAATGAAAATCCATTTTGTTTTTATTTATTAAACACTATATATTTTTATTTCCGTCTACCGGACTATATAATCAAGAAAAGTGCTATCAATTAGATAACAGTTCTATAGGGTGTAAGGACCATAGTTTAGATCCGGCTCTAGAAGAGACAAAAGAGGGAACATAACATGCACAAGTTATAGAGTATGCCAATATCTGCACTGGAAAATCTGAAACTTCTACGGGAAGGAAACTGAAAGAAATTGGTATGAACACCAACCAGACCCGGTTACGGAGATAGGACCTGTTACAATTCTATGGGACTACACAATACACACTGACAGAACAAACAATCATTCGCCCAGACATTGTTATTAAAGACCACAAACAAACAAAAAAAGTGAAGTTGTCACGCAGACGAGGTGAGCGAAAGAGGGATTCCATGAAGTGAGCTTCGTAAAAGTATATTCAATGTGAATGCGATTGGACCTACCGTGGAATTACAAGGAGAGTCGACCACTGCTACCGGTGGGGGGACCCTGAATTGACTACAGAAATCATCAAGTCTCCTATTAAAGCTAGGACAGGCAGAAGGATAAGAAGTAAAATAGTACAATCACTGATTAAATCATGCGGAGTGTTGAGAACTCTAAAAAAAACTAACCGTGATTATTTTTTTAAACTGGACATGGAATGAAAAAAAAAAGAAGTATTATTATGATTATTCTTTTTTTTTTTTATATAATTTGACATGAAATTGAAAAGAAAGTTATTGTAAAATGTAATTATTACTTTTTCTATTCGACTTGGGTTGAATTGAAAAAGTAACTGTGGACATTATAACCCTGATATAAGGGATTTGTTTTAATTAAATATTGATGTGCATAAGAATGGCGGAACTTAATGAAAAAAAGGAGCTGAGAGAGACTGTAATGTTTGAATTGATTTAATTGGACTGTACATTTCTTTTGAAATAATACCTGCATGCGGAAGGTATAATAGACAAATTGCATGAGCAGGATTAACTTTTGAAGTATTGGTGCCTAATACAAGTATTAGGGAAAAGGTTTAAGGAAGAGATGTGGCAGGGGCAATATCACCACGAAATAATAATAATGATAATAAAGACGAATATACTGGAAAACAGAAAAAAGTGGTTTTCAAAAGAACAAAGAGGTTAAAAATGCTGTAAAGACTTTGAAATGTAAATGTTACAGATTTTATTTAGAAAACGAAATACAATCTTTTTTCTCTTTAAGCGTACAAAACATATCATAGAAAACAGAATTCAGAATGTCTTGATATAAAGGTTAATTCTATCGATATTAAGACAGTATGAATCTATGTAAAGTTTACAAAAATTGCTCAGAGCTGTTAATAGATAAACTTAGAACAATTACAATAGGGCCAAAGTACTGAAAGTTGAAACGAATGTGAAGCTTTAATTTAGAAATATGTCGGAAAATAGGTTGATTCCGTTCATAATAACAGTAGGTCAGTACGTTCGCACTAGAAAAAACAATACCTCACTAGTTCTCAATATAAAGAGGCGAACCAACCGGAAGAAAGAGCAGACATGGGTTGAGAGCAGAGCAGAGTTGAGAGGAGCAGAGAGTGTTGGGTTAGAGAAAGTGACATCAGTGACTGGGGCAGCATGTGACACAAGGTCGGTTATTTATTGTGGGTTCTCCGAGCCCGTGGGCTCGGCCCCAAAATATGCCCATTGAATCCGTATAAACGGGTTCAGGGCCGGTTTATCTCCCCGAACGAGACTCCGCCCTTCGGCGTAGCCTCGTTCGGGTTCCACCCGCCTGTTCAACCGAACAGTTGGTCAGAAAGTGAATGACTAACTCAGTGACTGAAACAAAACGCCCTCTAACATGTTGATATAAATACCGCTGCTCCTGCTACCACTAATATTACTACTACCATTACTACTAATAAGGACGGGAACATTGACGGTTGTAGTAGTTGCGCTAAGAACAGACCAGAAAGGGTTAAAATGAAATTACACAAAGTATTTTTTGTTTTATTGATCATCGTTCATATACAAGAGACATTCAATTTTTTGCCATGAGAATTGTATTATTAAATGTATTGTTGATGTTATAAATATATATATATATATATATATATATATATATATATATAGACTTTTGTCCCTCTAAAATCGGATCGACTTGGCCATATTTATTTGCTGTTAACCCGATTCTTACCCAACAAGCTTGCAGGAAGTCCAACGGACAGCTTCCGGAATTCTACGACCCGATAACTACTCACCAGGATAAAAAAAAGTCTCAACGTGGCTGGTGTGTGGAATCGAATCGACATTTGAAACCGGAGACTTAGGTCTAACCTGTAATACAGGACCAACGGCCGGTCTTGTGGATGGCGTCAGCCCAGTGGGGTTAGGATATGGTATTATATTTACCAGGGATCACGTTATAAATGACACCTGCGAGAGGATCGGCGTTACATAGGTACCGATTTTTTTTTTAATGGAAACTACAAGAATCCAGAAACTCTTGTCCAAGATTCCATATATAATAGTAAAAACGTCCCATCGGGAAAATGGTGACAGAATGAAGACCAGTGCATACAGGTCTCGAAACCTTTTGATGACGACCAGAAAGACATATTTCAATTGGTATCTTTTCTCTTTTATTTATTTTAATCTATTCTTTTCATTAGTAGCTGATAGGTTCACCTCTCAGCTAGCTCGCACTTTTTCTCTGTCTTTTGACCTGGAGTAGAGGTTTGTCCCTTGTTTCCTGTTTAGGATCAGATTTCCGGTCCATTCTAAAATCTTCTCATTTTCTTTCCCCCTCCA